ATTATTTTCTTAATAAATCTTTACAAGCTTTGTGTTTCGCAGCAGCTGCTTCAAAAGATATTTATTCTTTAGACGCAGATGACTTAAATATAATGCATACCAAGTGTACGCGCATTTTTTTTTTGATTCTTGGACTAAGGATCCCGTGTTCAAAGGCTGGTTGTGTAAACACTTGAGGTTTCGAGGCTTATTGCAATGTTTGCTATTGCACATTAAAAGCCAAATCAGGAAGAGCTGATCTCTGGCAACACGCACGCTCGCAAAAGCATCCAAACTTTTTCAACTTTTTTAAGACTTCATTGAAAATGTAATGAACGCAAAAAGGCTGAAATATTGCTATGCTCCTTCTTAGCAGAACGTAATTTAGCATTTTCGACAACCGACCCCCTTACCAAATGTCTACAATAAAAAAAAAATATTAAAAATCAACGCGATTATTTAGCTTCTTTAAAATTGCACTTTATTGACCTGAAATTTAATGGGCTATCAAACTGCACACTGAAAAAAAAATCTTATTAAAAAGTTGAAAATCTAGCTGAAGTTTTGCAGATTTTTTATAATTTTTGCACAAAGTTTGAAATGTGGATTTATATTTTGTTTGTTATATAATGAGCTTGGCTTTTATGGAAAAATAATAAACATTAAATAAACAAAAGAGAAATAGCAAAAATCGATCAAAATGGTGATGACTTAATCAGCTGATCACAAGTGGATGTATAAAATGATTTTTATATTAACGACCTCAAACCAGTTTACAATGAATTTTAAATGTGCTCTGTCAAAATAACATTTTAATATACCCTACGTACATATGTACCTTTGTATATAATAAAAGTGTAATAAGAACAATTTTTTGAACATTCATTTGAATAAGACGTTTTTGGGTAGGAAATGACGTTTTTTTACACCAAGATGGACGTTTTCTAATGCTGAAGACATGGCAACACTGCTTGCGTTAGCGAAATTGTGTTATCCCAAGAATGATAGAATACAAGATTGCGCCTTCCTGGCCGTTGACATTTGTGTACCACAAGTAAACAAAGAATAGAGACAAAAGTAGACCGAGTTCAAACTGTCAAAACAGTTCACTTTACAGCGAAAGTGGTGTTTTAATTTTGATCAATGCGAAAATATTGCATTTTTCATCTAATCTATTGGAGAATAGTGAACGTTTTAGTGCACTCCATGCTTTGCAATTAAGGCTGCTGCAGCAAACGTTTTAGTGTACTCCATTGCTTTGCAATTAAGGCTGGTGCAGCAAACTGCGCCAGCATCTGAGTGAGATTGATTAGTTAACTTGCTAAAGGAGGCTGCTTAGAGCAGAAGCGATATGATTGTGATAAAATGCTGTAAATATAATAATAAAAAAACATTTCGGCTTTGCCACGCCCTATATACACAAAATGCAGCGATTCGTCGCAGCGTTACATTTGCATCTACGCATAATGAGATGGGGCACCATGGCACACTTCATGGAAGGACAACAGCGCGAATCGGAGCCATGCAGTGTGCATGAGTGCAGTACTACCAACAGCTGTTCCTGCAAATCGTGAATATCGTGAAGCATCTGGAACGCAACTATTATTTCGTACCTTGGTCGTTTACGCAACATACCTGAAGAGCTGGAACAAAGATATAAATCACAGGGATTGATCCGGCCCAATAAATATGCAGGTTAATTGGTGATAATCGAAAACGCAATTTCTATAATTATGTATTTATGTTATACACATTTGTAAATATAGGGAAAACTTTTGCTTTTTGTCGCAGGCGAATAGAGAAAATCTACTTTCCTCAAAGAGATGCGTATAATACGCGGCATTATTTATGAACTCGAACTTATTCCAGAATACAAATAAGTGATATATCAAAATGTATTACGAGGTAAGCTTTAAATCATTTTTTCCAATAAGATCTGTAAAAGAACTAATCAGGAATCTTTGTTTGAAGGAAAGCACGTATTGATTGATGCTCGTCAAAAACTGGGAATCCCATAGGGAAACACCGAACAAGAAACAATGCGAAATAGGCGAAATTAATTGAATGTAGTAAAGTGGAAATCGACAATTTCATACAGTGGGCTCCATATATTCGTAGACTATGGCAAGATCGCTGAAATATAAAAAAGCCATAACTAACTATAATTTATATTGCATAAACGATGAAACGCATCATACTCAATCGAAAAGCGAGTTTTGCATATTGAGTTAGTTACGGCATTTTGTATTTTAACGACGATGTGAGATATGGCCCTTCTATGTTAAGGTAACGATATACTCCCATATCAAAAATGAATACTTATTTTGCTCTACTGAGCTAGTGGTAATCAGTGCAGGGGGAGATTCCGTAACCAGTTAGCGACAATTTGCGAATCGCTAACTGGTTATAAGATCTCCCACCAGATATGAAAGTACACAACATAGAAGAGCAGTTCGCATCCATTTCTCTATACTTAACTCGATTTTGTATTATATTGGACATTGAGATTATGACACTATTGAAGTAAATGAGCAATATGTAAACACAAATTTTTTTGTCTCTTTGTTAATTTAATTTGCGGCCCTGAAAAGGGCCTTTTGCACATTTCCATATACATATGCATGCAAACACAAAAATGATGGCCTAATTTAATTTGTACTTTTGAAAGCATAAATAATTGTCTCTTTGTAAATTAATTGGCGGCCCTGAAAAGGGCCTTTGATTCATTCATGTTATTCTCCTGCAAATAAATAAATATGGATATTTTTTTATACAAGATGCCAGATTATTTGTTAAACTCATAGGCTTACGTTGCATCCATGCCTTATAATTTTAGGCGGCTTAAACATTGAGCTTACTTTGCGGGAACTGCGGACGTTGCTGCATGCTACAATCAAAGAACTTTTAATTTCTACGGATTTATACAACATTTCAGTTGATGCGGCTGCTGCTGCTACAACTTCATCTTCAACGCCTATTCCTGGTGCCGCTGCTTCGCAACTTATTTCGCCTTCCTCGGTTACTAATGTAAATTCGCCTGAAGTTGTTGGTAACCCAAATGGTTGGAAAATTGTGCAAAATAAAAGAAGTAATAGACGGAAAAATAAAAATAAAATTCAAAATGACACTGAATTCGCTTCTAATGATGCTAATGCAGTAGCTGGTATTAGTAATATGCCGATAAATTCTAACACTGCAGTCATGGAGAATGACAACATCAGAGCCATTCAAGGTAATTCGCGCTTGCTTGGGCAGCCTTTGGTTGTTGGGTCGGGCATAAATAGTGATATTAGCGCTGTATCGAAAAGGGAATGGCTGCATCTTTCGCCATTCTCTGCCTCGGTTACTTCCGAGAAATTGAAAGCGCACATATCTCGATATACTGGAATTAATGAAAGTGCCATCGTTTGTATTCCACTGGTTAAGAATGGCGTGGATCCTATCTCTCTGCGATTTGTAAATTTCAAGCTGGGTGTCGATCCCATTTGGCTTCCAAAGTTGCTGGTCCCCGAGTTATGGCCTACAAACATTGCGGTGCGTCCGTTTAATTTTCGTTCAAAAAACGGCGAGGGCCAACTGATAGTGGAGGGCAATCAGTTGGGCCCAATGGAGCAATGAGCGGCTTAAATTTTAGTTCTAGTGCTGATTGTAATAAAAACATTTTTAATTTAAATATTTATTATCAAAACATCTCGGGAATGCGTACAAAAGCTAATGAGGTTTTCTATCCACCTCTCGCTGTGAATTTGATGTATATGTAATTGTTGAAACTTGGCTAAACAGTAATTTTGCTGATGCTGAGTTTTTTGATCCTAATCTTTTTCATTTGTATCGCAAGGATAGAGACGCATTTAAGACTAACTGCTTAAGAGGGGGCGGGGTTTTAATCGCAGTAACTCGAAAGCTTCGCTCATCTTTAGTTCAGCTGGAAAACGATGATTCTCTCCTAGATCAGCTTTGTGTATGCATTTTTGGTAATCTTGGCAAAATATATTTTTGTGTATCTTACATACCACCGTCTAGCGCTGATTCTTTATATGCTACTCATATAAGCAATATTATGAGTCTTTATGAAGCAAATGAAGACAGTCATTTTTGTATCCTAGGAGACTTTAACCTGAGCAAAATTACTTGGTTAAATTTTCGTTTTTTAATAACGGTATTTTAACGCCCACAAATGTGAATAGCTCGCATGAAATAAATTTCATTGATAGCCTCTTTAGTATTAATCTCACCCAAATTAATTCGTTTTTCAATTCATTACATAATCTCTTGGATCTGGTTTTTGTTGATGAAAATTTAACCTTTGAAGTCTCTGAATCCACATTCCCGATATGTAAATCAGATATGCATCATGTTCCACTCTCTCTCTCCGTCGAGTTTGTTAATTTTCTTTCAAGTTCAAGTGCAATCTCCAATATTAGTTTTAATTTTCGTGATGCGGACTTTGACTCCCTAAATGCTGAAATTCTCGAAGTGAATTGGCTATCTATCTTCCACTCGAAAAGTGTTGAGGAATGCTTCGATGTTTTCCTATGCAATATATATGAAATCTTTACTAATAATCTTTCTTTACTACCTGAGCGAAAGCATAAACTTCCATGGTATACCAAGCGCCTCAAGAAATTGAAAAATCTTAGGAACAAATTTTTTAAACTTTATAAAGCTTCTAATAATAACCTCCATAAGAGATATAGTAAAGATTTTAATGTGCTGGATAAATTCTTATATAAAGAATATATTTCTAGGTATGAAAATGAGCTGAAGGAAAACCCTAAAGCTTTTTGGAAATATATTCGTTCTAAGAAGGGTTGTTCTAATATTCCGGTTTGTATGACTTACTGCGGTGCATCTTCTGAATGCCTACTGGATTCTGTTAACCTGTTTGCTGATTTTTTCAAATCAAATTTTGTTTCAAGCAATACGGCTGGTAGTTTCTGTGCCGGTGTTGCTAAAACGGTCTGTTTTGGGTCCTTGTCAATCTCGGAAACTGACGTAATAATACCATTGATGCCCTTAAAACCTCATTAAAATGCGATCCTGACGGACTCTCGTCATTTATATTGAAGAAATGCAGTATGTCTTTTTGCAAACCTCTGTATTATATTTTTAATTTCTCATTAGCGAGTGGTAAGTTTATTGACCGATGGAAAATAGCCTCTATCACTCCAATCTTTAAATCTGGCAACAGGAATAATGTAGCTAATTATAGACCGATCTCGAAACTCTCTAACTGCTCGAAACTTTTTGAGAAAGTAGTTAAAGAGAAGTTATTGTTTGCAATTAAAGGTTCCATAGATGAGTGTCAACATGGTTTTATTAGCGGTCGATCCACGGTTACGAACCTCGCTACTTTTTCACAATTTTGCGTTTCGTCATTTAAGACTGGCCAACAAGTAGATGTTATCTATACAGACTTTGCTAAGGCTTTCGATACTGTTACCCATAGTATACTATTGTACAAGCTCGAAAAAATGGGTTTCCATTCTACCTTTTTATGCTGGATTAGATCTTATCTCAGCAACAGAATATCATTTGTGGAAATTGAGAACACTAAGTCTTATTCTTTCGTAGCCACATCTGGGGTTCCTCAGGGTAGTATTCTCGGACCAATTCTATTTCTTCTTTTTATTAATGATATAGGATCTTGTTTTAGGAACTCGAATTATCTGCTCTATGCAGATGACTTAAAGATTTTCAGAACCATAGCAAGCTTCTCAGATGTTGTCCTGCTACAGGACGATCTTAATAACTTAGCTAATTGGAGTATTATTAATAATTTACGCCCTAATATTAAAAAATGCTTCCATATGAAGCTTTCGAAAACCCTCAACATCCATATGTCTACTTATAAACTTTTTGATGACAACCTTTCTACTGTTAGTGAGTTTGTTGATCTTGGAGTAATGTTTGACTCAGGCTTTACATTCTCAAATCACATAAGTTTTATTTTACCAAAGGCCTATTGTAACTTGGCTTTTTTGCGGCGATATGCCAAAGACTTCAAAGATCCATACACCAGGAAAACTTTATATGAAAGCTTAGTGCGCTCGAAATTAGAATATGCATCGATAATATGGAGCCCGATTTATGCTGTTCATTCTCAGAGAAAGAGTACAAAGAAGTTTTAGCAGATTTGCTCTTCAACCGCTTCGCTTCTCTGATCCATTACCATCTTATAGTGCCCGTTGTGCCCTCATAAGCATGAAGTCACTGGCGTCCAGGCGTTCTATTCAAACTCTGATGTTTATTTATGACCTAATCTGTGGTTTGGTTAACTGTCCGGAACTTTTAGCACAAATAAATTTTAATGTCCCGCGCAGAACTCTCCGCGCGCATTATCCGTTTAATGTCAAGATAATCCGAGCTAATTACTTTAATTTTGATCCCATCTCGAGGGCTCTCGCAGAATTTAATAAAATTTTTTGTAGTCTTGATCTGGATTTCGCACTTTCGAGGTCATGTTTTGGTTCTAAACTAGCTTCATATTATATTTAATAGCATACGCATGTATCTTTTTAGTCTGTAAGATTTGTTTTTCTAGTCTGTAAGTTTTGCATTGCTAGTCTGTAAGATTTATAAAAATCATAGACTTAATAAATTGAATTGAATTGAATTGAACTTACCGTATGTTTTTAGTATGTACTTACAATTTATAATGGTACCATATGAATCTAAGCCAGAGTTTTTTTAATTTTTCTTTTTTTCTTGTGGGCATTTTCAATGAGTTCTTTATTTAATTTTCTTATTTTAAAGAACATTCTTGCCCTGAAAAATAATTTTTTCACTTTAATGTCGCAATGAATTTTCGAAGCATGCTCAATGTGAGTTTTTACAAAATCATTTGTAATGAGCAAGCCATCTTCGTTCATTGCTTTAAACACTGACTCAAGATTTCTCATATGGTGCATCATAGATGAACTTGGTATTGACAACCCACCCTCGCTTAGGTGACTCGCCCAGGAACATGAGTTGTCATTGCTACCAAACGACGTGCTTGGAATATCATCCTTTAACCTGTGGCAAATATACCCGGCTAAATGCTCCAGTCCGTCAAATTCCAATTCGTCGAATTCCGCCTCTTCCACCGGCCACAGTTCTTTATTAGAAGTCAGGTTTTTTAGCA